GCAAATATTATGCTTACAAAATATTCCACTTTCCTTCTGTTATATTTTCCAAGCTGTAAACTCCACTATTAAAATGTTGAAACAACGTGATGTATTTATTAGCTAAATGAGAGTAATAATGGAAAAATATGTACAAAAAATTCAAAACGACATTTATTTAGCAAATAGTTGATAAAACTAAAATGACATTTAAAAAAAAATAGGAAATATTGAATACAGCATTGAATCTAAATATACGTTCAAATTCCAAACACATGACATGATTTTAGGAAAGACAGAATATTAAAAAATAAAATAAAAAATAGGAGCTTAGAATAAACCGGTCAAAAGCCAAGAGTGCAAAAGCATGTGACACACTCCAACAAAGCAAAACAAAGCATATTGCTTTTGCTACTCCCCATATTTTGACCAAAAACATTAGTACAAAAATACACAGTGATTAAAACAAATAAGCAATTAACTAATTAATCAAATACATTATCAAACTTTCCGTAGACACATTATAATTGAAATACAACTTTCAAATCAAAAGAGCCACAACAAAAGTTGTAGTCTCCACCAAAACGAGACCACAACTCACTGTGTCAACTCACCGCCAAAAACACTATAGACATAAACAAAAGAATAATAATAATAATAATAATAATAATAATATTATATAACCTAACTTCATTATTCCTATACTTTTAATTTTAATAATTCCAATTTTTTTTCCAAAATTGGAAACAATATAGAAAATACCCTTTCTCCAAAACAAAATAAAAGTACCTAAATTTTACTGCAAATATTCTTTAGCTATTTTTCCTTTCCCTTACTATTTTCTTATTTCACCAAACATTATTTTTTCCTTTTTTTTTTTCATCATCGTCTACATTTACTTGCTACCACTGCAAATTCCTATACTACTACCTTAAAACTTTCTCGCTTTTGTCCTAATTTTCTTCAAATTATACTGACTGCATGCATAACTCGGACCCAAATCCACAGTTTTCTTCTGGGTTTCTCATTAGTAAGTCCACTCTTGAGGAAGCCTGAATTCTTGATTCACAATCGGCTGTGGCCTCATGCTTCTCGCCGGAAAGGCGGCAGCCGGCAAATTGTTCCTCTGCTTCAAAATGGCATCTGAAAGATTACATGAAGTACAGATAAAGTTAATCAGCAAAAATTACAATTGAGAAACTCAGCAAATGGGTAGATAATTTATAAAACAAAAACAATTACCATAATCAGGATTGAAATTTCCGATGCCTCTGGTTTGAAGCTGGGCATTCATGGAATCAATGTTCGGATTCAAAGAAAACCCTGTAGAAATTTCATTTAATAAGCCAACTAGAGTAATAATATACCTTGTGAAAATTATTATTATACGACTGCTGCCATCAATGCACACCAACACACGGCGAAAATTAAATGGAACAATAAATACGGGCCGAGAAAGAGAGGGCTACCTGGTTTCTTTCGGGCTTCAGCCGGGCTAGGGCTATATCTTCTGGGCATGAAAACGCCGGTCCCAACCCTCTCCTTTTTTTGCCCGGTTTCTCTGAGGAAGGCAGCTTTCATGGCGGAGCATGTTTGCTGCTTAGACTGTTGTAAAGTGGGCCAGGCGGCCGTTGACAGACCAAATGCTCGATCAACTCCGGCATCTCTCCTTGCTTCACGAATCTGATTATCCATATCCATAGCCCCATTTTTCATAATCATCATCATTAGCTGGTTTTGCTTCATCTGAAGCTGTTACATATCCATAATTAATTTAGAAAAATCAGTATAATAGATAATAGCGCACATCACACTCGCTGAAAGAGAAGAAGAAAACTAACCTTAGCGGCTTGCAGCTGGTGGTAAGAGACGTGAGTCTGCGTTTGAGGTCGAACCGGGTAGAAACCGGTGCCCATATCGGGTTTGGGCTGAGGTACAGAGAGAGGGCCGGGCTTGCGGGCCGGGGCGAACACCTCGTTGGAGTAGAACGCCGCCGTATCTTCGGCCAGACGCATCCTCGCGACCTCCTCCGCCGCCGCGTAAAGCAAATCCCAGCTCAGAGCACTTTTGGCTTCAGGCGGCGAACAAGCCCGGGAATCAGAGTTCGGGCTGCCCCTCGAACCAGGCTTGAACCCGTACAGAGTGGACTGGGGCGAACCTGATAGTTTCAATCCCTACACAGAAAAAGCAAAAAGTTAGTCGTACCGTACGATTTGAAATGGTGAGACCGTGTCAAGCAAAAAGGAGTAACGTTACTCATTCCATACCTTAGCCGTGAAATCAGATGACAAGCTCGAGTTCCCCAATCCGGAACGAGTCACCTTCCTGGTCAACTCGGCAACGACGTCATCGTCGTCGCTTCCGAACTCCAAGGGGCCGGTGACCGACTCGACCGGGGAACTCAGATCAGAGCTCAGATAGCCGGAATTCCCAAATCCAGTGGCGAAATCAGTCAGGAGGTCGTCGTCGGTCAGTAGCTCCGACGGTAGCAGAAACTCCAAATCGTCCATTTCTTGAGCCATGGCTGATGAATATAGTAAGCTGTTTGCTGAAAGTTCAATTACGGCCACAAACTCCACTTTGAAATGGAGGTGAATTGGGAAGAGAGAGAATGTATGTGTGTTTTTTTAGAGAGAGAGAGAGAGAGAGTCCGATTTGTAGACAGGAAAAGCGGAGGACGAGAAGGAAGATGGTTTATATAATGTGAAAAAAAATAAAAAAATGAAAAACTAATTGGTGCAGGGCGCCAGTCGCTAACATGCGCCGCGGCCGAAAACCTTAAGGGGGATGCGAGTGGGGAGAACGCGCGGCGGCAGAAAATTTTGAATTATTTTGAAAAGGAAAAACGAAAAAGAAAAAAAAAAAGGAAAATAACATGAAATACGAACAAAAATTAGAGAATTAGTTGGAAAGAGTTGTAGCCAGGTAAGGAGTGGTGGTGTGAGTGGGGTGGTGGTGGGCCCCGCGGTCTGACACCGCTCACTCGGTTCGCATGTGAGCCAGCAGGTGGGGCCCAGCCCAAATTCGGTTCAGGGACTTTTTTTTTTTTTTTTCTCTC